CATACAAAAATACAAACAAAAAAGAAACAAAAAAATGTTTTGCACAATTTAAAACAATCTATTGTTTTATGTGAATGATTAGGCAGGATGATTTTCAAATCATTTTGAAGAAAAAAATCTAGGTTACATCCATTACCCAAAAGTAATGTAGTAGTTATACACATAGTTAGTATGTGTTTTGAGGCCTTATTTCAGAAACTTTAATTTTTAGTTTTTTCAATCACCATGCATTAACAATATTCTCTCAAAAATACAAACATGTACATACATGTTGCTCACATATTCTGGTAGCCACGTTTGTGTCAAAAAATAGTGTAATTTCAACTGTGCCATTAATATGTTTATAAGCAGCTGAAAAAACTACATGTCAGAACATCGCAAGGACCCTAAAAACACCTTAGACCCCAGAGGGTTAACGAAGGTTCAAACAACATAAAAAGGCAGGCTATGAGCCGAGTATCACCAGCAGGAAGAGAAAACAGAGCAGCTGCTCTTGAGTTTGTGCTTCCACCTCCAGAAAGCTGAACAGGCGTAGGCAGAGCAAAACAAAGCACCGCGGAAGAGTGTTAATGAACTATCAATAGACTGACAAACATGTGCTCCATTATCATGAGCAGAGCCGTTGCTAAGAGGAGAATATATTCTCAGTGGCCTCGCTTTACTCTAATATTAGATCATTTCTGTGTGCTGAGCTCCTCTTAAAGGGAGCAAACCCTCAACACCGGATTACTCATTAAACCCTCATCAAACCTTCAACACTAGATTACTTATCAAACCCTCAACACTGGATTACTCATCAAACCCTCAACACTAGATTACTCATCAAACCTTCAACACTAGATTACTTATCAAACCCTCAACACTAGATTACTCATCAAACCCTCAACACTAGATTACTCATTAAACCCTCAACACTAGATTATTCATTAATCCCTCAATGCTGGATTACTCATCAAACCCTCAACACTGGATTACTCATTAAACCCTCAACACTGGATTACTCATCAAACCCTCAACACTAGATTACTCATCAAACCCTCAACACTGGATTACTCATTAAACCCTCAACACTAGATTATTCATTAATCCCTCAACACTGGATTACTCATCAAACCCTCAACACTGGATTACTCATCAAACCCTCAACACTAGATTACTCATTAAACCCTCAACACTAGATTATTCATTAATCCCTCAACACTAGATTACTCATCAAACCCTCAACACTAGATTACTCATCAAACCCTCAACACTAGATTACTCATCAAACCCTCAACACTAGATTACTCATCAAACCCTCAACACTGGATTACTCATCAAACCCTCAACACTAGATTACTCATCAAACCCTCAACACTGGATTACTCATTAAACCCTCAACACTAGATTACTCATTAAACCCTCAACACTAGATTATTCATTAATCCCTCAACACTAGATTACTCATCAAACCCTCAACACTAGATTACTCATCAAACCCTCAACACTAGATTACTCATCAAACCCTCAACACTAGATTACTCATTAAACCCTCAACACTAGATTATTCATTAATCCCTCAACACTGGATTACTCATCAAACCCTCAACACTGGATTACTCATCAAACCCTCAACACTAGATTACTCATTAAACCCTCAACACTAGATTATTCATTAATCCCTCAACACTAGATTACTCATCAAACCCTCAACACTAGATTACTCATCAAACCCTCAACACTAGATTACTCATCAAACCCTCAACACTGGATTACTCATCAAACCCTCAACACTAGATTACTCATTAAACCCTCAACACTGGATTACTCATCAAACCCTCAACACTAGATTACTCATTAAACCCTCAACACTGGATTACTCATCAAACCCTCAACACTAGATTACTCATTAAACCCTCAACACTAGATTATTCATTAATCCCTCAACACTAGATTACTCATCAAACCCTCAACACTGGATTACTCATTAAACCCTCAACACTGGATTACTCATCAAACCCTCAACACTAGATTACTCATCAAACCCTCAACACTAGATTACTCATCAAACCCTCAACACTAGATTACTCATCAAACCCTCAACACTGGATTACTCATCAAACCCTCAACACTAGATTACTCATTAAACCCTCAACACTAGATTACTCATTAAACCCTCAACACTAGATTACTCATTAAACCCTCAACACTAGATTACTCATCAAACCCTCAACACTAGATTACTCATTAAACCCTCAACACTAGATTACTCATTAAACCCTCAACACTGGATTACTCATCAAACCCTCAACACTAGATTACTCATTAAACCCTCAACACTAGATTACTCATTAAACCCTCAACACTAGATTACTCATCAAACCCTCAACACTAGATTACTCATTAAACCCTCAACACTAGATTACTCATCAAACCCTCAACACTGGATTACTCATCAAACCCTCAACACTAGATTACTCATTAAACCCTCAACACTAGATTACTCATTAAACCCTCAACACTAGATTACTCATCAAACCCTCAACACTAGATTACTCATCAAACCCTCAACACTAGATTACTCATTAAACCCTCAACACTAGATTACTCATTAAACCATCAATGCTGGATTACTTATCAAACCCTCAACACTAGATTACTCATCAAACCCTCAACACTAGATTACTCATTAAACCCTCAACACTAGATTACTCATTAAACCATCAATGCTGGATTACTTATCAAACCCTCAACACTAGATTACTCATTAAACCCTCAACACTAGATTATTCATTAAACCCTCAACACTAGATTACTCATTAATCCCTCAACACTAGATTACTCATCAAACCCTCAACACTAGATTACTCATTAAACCCTCAACACTAGATTACTCATTAAACCCTCAACACTAGATTACTCATTAAACCCTCAACACTAGATTACTCATTAAACCCTCAACACTAGATTACTCATTAAACCCTCAACACTAGATTACTCATCAAACCCTCAACACTAGATTACTCATCAAACCCTCAACACTAGATTACTCATTAAACCCTCAACACTAGATTACTCATTAAACCCTCAACACTAGATTACTCATCAAACCCTCAACACTAGATTACTCATTAAACCCTCAACACTAGATTACTCATTAAACCCTCAACACTAGATTACTCATTAAACCCTCAACACTAGATTACTCATTAATCCCTCAACACTAGATTACTTATCAAACACTAGATTTAAGAGTTTGAAATAAGAGTTTGATGTACAACATGAGACCTGGAGACCTCTGTCTATTAGTGTTCCCATTCATCACAGGGAAAAGGAAATAGAGGCTAAAATATGTACTAAATATGTACTATGTATATTGCTTCCAGTATATTGTTGAGTTTTGAAAGCTTTTTCTCCTGAACAGCACGACTCTGATCAGACTAATCCCTAGAGTACGTGATAAATCTGCATTGTAAATGAGTTGAATCAGTGCATGAATATTTCACATCCACACAGAGAGAGAGAGAGATGCTTTCATAGCGGACGCCTTTTTGGACACAGAGGTCAGAAAGGAAACTAATCCACTTCAATCCGTCTCGTTCTGGACGTCACACTAAAAGCTCCTCTTCTGAAAGCAGAATCAATTGGCAATTTCTCTAAGAAAGACGCGACAGCACTCTAATACTGAACGGATCAGTTCTGCATCCCGCTGATGAAATTTCCCAGAGGATCAAAGTGAGAGAAGCCAAAGATGGCCGTCCAGAGCTGACCATAAATGGTCTTCTGAGAGGAGTGAGGAACCGCTCCGCTCATCCCTCTCGATTGGACTGAAGCGATCCGTACTGATGCCGTCTGAGGTTGAACTGTGGTCACTGCAGGATCAGCTCTGCCATCATAATCTATTATCACTTACAGTCACACTGAGAGATTAAAACAGCGAGGTACTCGCATGCCTCCGACAGGGCAGATAATCCTGCTGGGAAACACTTCCCAAACAAAGCTGCCGCTCTAAAAATAACACTGCTCCTGACAGGAGTCCTGCGGTAAGCAGTTTCCCTCCAGAACAAGCCACAGATAAACTGTCGGCTGCTATTGCTTTTTCATGTAAAGTCCAACACTAGAGGAGTCCCAAAAGAAAGATTATTTAGTGGGATCAATCTTGTTCCTCCAGCTCAATGATTATAGAAGAAAAACACAAACACAAGCTGCACACAAACGTTGATGATCATGATTTCATTTACAAAGATCATAATATTTTCATATTCCATTCATCCCTGGTGTGCAGATATAAATCCTGCATTCAAAGACTCAAAAGCAATCAGAATAAAAGTGCAGTTTTTATGTGATTTATTAGGCATTTGAGAGAGCTGGCCTGAAGCAGAGATTCACAGCTGAATGACTGTGTGAAATATAGCAGCAGTTGTGGAAGTTTCAGGATCAGTGGCTGCTAAGAGGCAATGACTGACATATTCTACTCATTTTTCAGTGCATGAGGTGTAACGATACCCTCATCTCACCACTCGATACATAGCACGATATTGAAATCACAATACAAGATTATTATACTCCAGGACATATGATAAAAGGTAAAAAAAAAAATTGCTAAATTTAGTATTACATTATGGGTGTAAATGAATAGGCTTGGACTCGGTGCTGGAAACCCAAAGCACAGGACAATAGAGACACCAGAATAACAATATTCACAATTCTGAAGTTGAAAACACAGAATTATTTTAGACAAACATGCTGTCACTGACTAGATATACTTAAATCATGTCGGCCATCACACATTTGGCATTATCAGGACCCACAAATATTCCCCCATTGCATTATTATACATTATATTCAACATTAATGTAGTACTGACACTTCACTTTACACTTTATTAATGTAGTACTGAAACTGTAAACTCGAATTTTTTCCTCACAGTAATTTGTATTTTGGGTGAACTATCCACGATAGTTTGTATTGTGATATATATTGTTCCACCCCTAACTGTAGTTTATGAGAGACGTTGTTACCTGTATGGAGCCGCTGCTCAGACATAGTCCGTCCGTCTCAGGATCCTCCCGTCTCCAGCTGAAGGGGATGATGACACACCTGAGGAGAGGAGAGCGTCAGGTGAGCGTTCTCATGTTCTCTCATGATCATGTGTAGGACCAACACACTCACTGACTCTTCACATGACTACAGCTTTGTGTCTATGTGTGGCAATCGTGTGCCAAATCATTACATTAGTAGCAGACAGGCACAGTGCATAAAGCTCAGAGGGCAGGATTAAGTGCATTCATTTTAAAGGCCCCCTGAAATCAAAATGTACATGTTTTAGCTTTTAGTATGAATATGTTGGCCTTAAGGTTATGAATAAGCTGGTTTGCCTCAAAATAATGACACAATTCGCATTTAGGAGATATAAGCGTTCAAAACGTACGTCTCTCTCTAGTGGATCACACATTTTTATGACATGAGCTTTTCATCACATCTTCTGTCCAATCAAATGCTCTCTAGAATCTAAAGCTCCGCCCTCTGCTATAAACACCACCTGACCAAAGTGAGCGTTGACGCGCCACGGGTTGGAGATGTGTGTTCAGTTGCTCAAACTCTCTGGTTTTATTCCGGTTTCCAACTGTACGTTGGTTAAGCATGAAATGGCTAGAGTTTATCCACAACTCTACTGTCGAATCCAGCGTATCATCAGCGCTCGGATTCGCTCCCATGGTGCTGTCAGTCTGTGAGGGAAACTAAACTCTATTGGCTATTTGAAAGGGGGAGGGGCCATTCAATATGTCCCGCCTCTGCCTTAGCTTCCTGTTTCAGTGGAAATGACGTCAATGCATCGAACAAAGCTGCGCTCTTCAGTGGGCCTTTAAAGAAACTTTTTATACAATTCATTTATTTAATTATTGGATGAATATTTAATACTTTTACAACCTCAAAGAGACACTCAAGCCTGCTGATGTTATTCAGACTGATGCTGGTCATTTGATCAAACCTCAGGACTGGACGTCATCCTCATCTCTAATACCTCAGTCCGAATGCTGCAGGCCTGGGGACGTGTGTGTGTGTGCTGCAATGGGTTCTGGGAAGCAGCGGCGTTGGGTCGGATGGGACTGAATGTGAGTGTGGAGCAGTGAAAGATGAAGATGACTGGCAATAATGATGAGGGAGATGAGCAGTGAGTGTCTGTGGCCTGAGGCCGGACAGAGTCTGTAAATCCCTGCGCTTTGATGAATCCAAACCCGTTCTGAGCTCACATTAAACCTCACGTCCATCCGCGGACGCAGCGTTCACTGTTCTGGTGATCAGGACATAAAGATGTGGGGGAAACAGGGCTACTGCTTTTACGTCCCCACCAATGTCGGTGTACTTCTTGACCTGTTGAGGACAGAGTATCCAGCTCCACTTAAACAGGGGTGTAAATAAGCCTGTAAGACCTGCCTGGCACTCTCTTGAACCCAACACCAAAGTGACTTAACCTGCAGTTCCTCCACTGGCCACTAGAGGCGCTGCAGAGGAGACTCACTCCCATAGACCCGCATGTTAACATGCCCAACTTTACAGCCGAAAGGAACATGTTTACAGGCTGGTACTAAAAGTGGTTTTGGTCTATATCGCTAATTCTGCCCTTCATGACGACTGTGAGGGGGGGGATTATTATATAACTTATCTGTTTGAATTAAATTAACCCTTAAAGTTCTGGATAATTAAGGGCGTGGCCACTTGAGTGACCACTGCTAGCCATTTCCCTGCTGTGTGTTAGCGTCACGTCACCTCAGCTAAACCGCCTCGCTGCACATTACCGTCTATGCGGGAGTGACGTGCGGCCAAGATGACGACGGCCGGCTCCGCCCACTTTAGGCTAAACACTACGAGTGACGTCACACACACTCCGTCCATATTTATTTGCAATCTCTGGTACAGATCTGCTGTTTCCCAGATGATGTACAGGTTCTGGATCCGGATGAAGCAGAGAGAGATTCAGACGGTGTGTATTATGAGGGGGATTTGCTGTGATTAATGCTGAGCACACAGGGGTTCATTGTTCTAGAATCCATTTGATTTGAGGGATTTCCATGTGTAAACAGGGTTTAGCGGCACCAGGTGCATCCAAGGGGGAGATACAAGCTTCTTATGCTGGTCCTGTCCTCGGAGACACGGACTGCTGATCATGTTTAATGCATGTTTACTGGGGTCGATGCCTTCAGTCGCCACACACACCTGAACAATAGCTCTGTATATCCTCTTCTGTAAGAGGAGAAAGGAGACACTGGCTAAACCCTTCAGGGAATATATTAGTGAGCGTTCATCAGGAACCGCAAACTAAGCAGTTTCTGTGGCACTTTCAGATGTTCCTACCATCATCATGATCCCAGAGAACAATGCTGCAGAACTGATCATAATAAAATACATTTCTCAATCCCTGCATATGAACTGAGACGCAAACAAGATGCAGAATTGATGCACAGAAATGCATCTGTGTCATGTTTCCGCATGAAACACTCATATTACGATCATACACACAATATATGGAGGATTTCTAGAAACACTGCTCATTAAAATCATGTTCTTTTTCAAATAACACTGAATTCATTTAATTATTTATTAAATTACTTTCCTTTTAAGGGTCGTGGTGGGAGAACAGTGACGGCCTGAGGAGTTTCACTGGAGAATTACTAATGTTGTGAATTACAAATACTTTCAGGTCCTGCCATGAAACTGTATAAGTGAACTGTGAAGCTACTTATGAAGCTTTGGGGTCAACAACACCTAGTGGTCAAAACACAAATAAGTTTATAGTTTTTGTCAAATTTTGTGATGATGACCATAAATATCAGCTACAGAATCCAATGATACATCCTCCTACTTTCCAACTCCTAGAACGGTTTGTCCAATCTTCTCCAAATCTCACACAGATCATCAGATCAGATTATTCCAGAACACGGTTTTAAAATGTTTTCTCATGTCAAACTCATGTCCTCCATGCTGTGACGTCCTCCTCTCTAGCCCCTTTTCCACCAAAGCATTTTGAGAGCCGGTTCGGAGCTGGTGCCTGCGCACGAACCAGTTGTTTGTGTTTCGACAGGCAAAGAACCGGTTCTCGGCCTGGAAAACTGGTTCCAAAGCGGCACCAACTCTTTGCTGGACTAGAACCGTTCTTTCACCCCATCATGTTTACGTCGGGGGCTTGGCCGGGTTTAGATGTGCTCTAAACATCTTTTCTGACCATAATAAAGGATCGCAAAGCCAAGAGAAACATTTGCAGAAACACGATAGAGTCCGCCTTTGTAATTGTTACGCTTGAAGTTAATGCAAGCGTTTCTATTTTTGTAATTTTTTATTGGAGACATTATAAGCAAAGAAGAAAAAATAGAACAAAAAAATGGAAAGAAAAAAAGACACAATTACAGGGGTACATAACTTATCAGAAAAGATTACATATCAAACGAAAAGATTAAAAGACTTACACATTTCAATTGTTTTTAAAACTTTCTTGCTATACGAGTTAGAGATAATCCCAAAGTAATGTTGTATTTGCAAGCGTTTCCAGCTAAGGCGTATGGTGACGTACACAGTGACGTAACGACGTCGTTCTCTAGTCAGTGGAAAAACAAACAGATTCTGAAGTGGTTCGCAAGTTGAACCCACTCCGAACCAACTTTGAACCAGCACCAGTTCCCAACCAGTTATTTTTTTGGGGGGAAAGGGGTGTCTGAGCTCCTCACCTCAGCTCTGTTGTGCTGGTCCCAGTAACTGCACATATAAATGTTGTTAGCCATCACTGCAGACACGTTATTTCTCAAACATACACCCTCAACGTCACAGCCTCATCTTCTGTTCAGTCAGTGGTACTGGCGCTCCTAAGAGCAATGACCTCACATGAGACGAGCCTGGAAGTGGAAAATCTGTGGCGATTTGCCTCAGCACAAGCAGATTAGGCCGCATTAAAGCAACGCTTCACTCAAAAACTAAAATCTGTCATTATTTACTGCTTTAGCGCTTTCCATGTCGTCTGAGGACGTGTGATTACTTGTGGAAACCAAATGAAACATGCATTATTATTCACTGATGACATTACACACAGGCTTCGGAGTACCATTGTGTAACCTGGGTCTGTTCCTCACACCATGACTTCAGAAGACTTGAGATGATGATCTGTTATTATGAGGCTGAACATTGTGATGCTTCAAACAAATAAGTAAAAACTTAAAAACCGTCAGTATACAGTTAACATACAACAGATTTCCAAACCAGACAATATTAATAATATAAATTGCATAAGTTACAGCTCCATACCGCCACCATTTAACATCTTTAAAGGCACTGGGATAAATGAGTTGTTAGAGTCGTACTCTGTGTACAGGATATGCGACGGATCGCACACGATCTTTTCAGCTTGCGTTGAAGTAGCCTGTTCATAGAGGGTCTGCAATGATGTCTGTTCTTTCACTCCAATAATTTTCCAAGCAGTGTGGATCATCTGTACCAGTTTAGCCCTACGTGCTACGGACAGATTACCAAACCAGACTACAATGGTATAATTAAACTCTCGAAAGACTGCCTGATAAAAAATGATCATAAACCTTTGATCCACACCATAAAGACTAAGACGCCGTAAAAAGAGCAACCGTTGTTGTAATCTACTGCAAAGACTGTCTACATGGATATTCTGATTTATGGCTTTTTGAGGGGATCTGGATCTTGAAATCCGTTCGCCGTTCAAAAGAATGGCTCTTTTTAAATATTTAGTCAGTTTTAAGAAGTCAGCTTGGGGGCATCTCAGTTTATCCTGGAAATAATCACTGGCAGGAATGATGAGGTGAGATTTGTAGTCAAATAATTAAAACTCAGATATCACACACCAATATATGAGTTTGAATTATTCTGAAATATTGATTATTACCTCATTTGTCATGTGTGGACTATATTCCATAGGGTTGCACAACATCCCTCTGCTTAGAAAGTGACATCACTATTTTGGATTTACCTTTAGTACAAAGTGTGTATATGTGTAAAGCTATGTTGACTTATGTTATTCATACAATACCAATGATAAAAAAAAACAAAAATATTAATGAGATATATAATGAGAACCTGTTTAATGT